ATGTGTGCCTCTATCTTCAACATCACGAGAGCAGGCGGGCCAGTCAAATTTGAAAAACGGAAACAGATAGAAACAGCAACAACAAGACTAAACAACCGTTTTTCACTTATTCTGGGACAGTTGTAAAGACTTGGTACCAGTCATAAATTGATTTATGATGTACATCGAGACGCTGATTTCGGAAACAAATTTCTAATAAAGACTGGTGAAGAATGATCATGGTGACCTGGCTTGTGTTGTGAGTGGGCAGCTGTAGTGTTAGTTTATACTCTTGAAAAACGTAGGGGAACTTCTTTTGTAATTTACGATTGAAAAAATATCGGAGTCAATCATTGTTGATATGATAATAATGAATGTTTTGAGAGTGCATCACCACTTGCACTTCCTTATGACCATAGTTGTTTGTACAGTAATCGGTCTTGAAAGATGATTGGTGTGTGAAATTAGCATGTGTATGATTTTCATTTTCAAACAGCAAACCCCGGCCAGAAACAAACACTAACAATTGTGTGATGCAAGATCATTGTCAAAATTAATAGTCTACTGTGATCTTGAAAACCGTCAAAGTCAAGAATGACACCCCATGCACGTGTATGAGACTACAGCGTTGTTGTGCACGTGCATCCCATGGGTTGTGTTGATAAAAGGGGTGTGATAAAGATAAATGGCTGTGCGTTCATAACATGTATGTCCTGTTTGTTTGTTAACCCTTATGCTTCCTATCCAAATTGGGTTCAGGTTCAGGTTCCCCTACTTTTTTTTAAGAGTATATATTGGGACCTAACATTCCACCGCATACCAATTATTTTATTGGAATACTCGGTGCGGGCACGGGATTGAAAATCTCCGTCTTTTACTGTTTCATACCGTAATAGGTAGGTCTCACACTATGATAGGTAGGTCTCATAAAAGGATTGGTAGGTCTCATACCATGCTAGGTAGGTCTCACACTATGATAGGTAGGTCTCACACTATGCTAGGTAATGCTAGGTAGGTCTCATACCATGCTAGGTAGGTCTCATACCATGCTAGGTAGGTCTCACACCATGATAGGTAGGTCTCATACCATGATAGGTAGGTCTCATACATAGGTAGGTCCATGCTAGGTAGGTCTCATACCTCTAGGTAGGTCTCATACCATGATAGGTAGGTCTCATACCATGATAGGTAGGTCTACCATGATAGGTACATACCATAGGTAGGTCTCATACCATATGATAGGTAGGTCTCATACCATGATAGGTAGGTCTCATACCATGTCTCATAGGTAGGTCTCATACCATGCTAGGTAGGTCTCATACCAAGATAGGTAGGTCTCATACCATGATAGGTAGGTCTCATACCATGATAGGTAGGTCTCATACCATGATAGGTAGGTCTCATACCATGATAGGTAGGTCTCACACTATGATAGGTAGGTCTCACACCATGATAGGTAGGTCTCATACCATGCTAGGTAGGTCTCATACCATGCTAGGTAGGTCTCATACCATGCTAGGTAGGTCTCATACCATAGGTAGGTCTCATACCAAGATAGGTAGGTCTCATACCATGATAGGTAGGTCTCATACCATGATAGGTAGGTCTCATACCATGATAGGTAGGTCTCATACCATGCTAGGTAGGTCTCATACCATGCTAGGTAGGTCTCATACCATGATAGGTAGGTCTCATACCATGATAGGTAGGTCTCATACTCATGCTAGGTCTCATACCATGATAGGTAGGTCTCATACCATGCTAGGTAGGTCTCACACTATGATAGGTAGGTCTCATACCATGATAGGTAGGTCTCATACCATGATAGGTAGGTCTCATACCATGCTAGGTAGGTCTCATACCAAGATAGGTAGGTCTCATACCAAGATAGGTAGGTCTCATACCATGATAGGTAGGTCTCATACAAGGATAGGTAGGTCTCATACAAGGATTGGTAGGTGTCATACAAGGATTGGTAGGTGCCATACAAGGATTGGTAGGTCTCATAAAAGGATTGGTAGGTGTCATACAAGGATTGATAGGTGTCACATTATGATATGTAGGTGTCATACAAGGATTGGTAGGTGTTATACAAGGATAGGTATGTCTCGTAAATGGATTGGTAGGTGCCATACAAGGATTGATAGGTGTCACATTATGATATGTAGGTGTCATACAAGGATTGGTAGGTGTCATACAAGGATTGGTAGGTCTCATACCATGATACGTAGGTCTCATACCAAGGATTGGTAAGTCTCATACAAGGATTGGTAGGTCTCATACAAGGATTGGTAGGTGTCATACAAGGATTGATAGGTGTCACATTATGATATGTAGGTGTCATAAAAGGATTGGTAGGTGTCATACAAGGATTGATAGGTGTCACATTATGATATGTAGGTGTCATACAAGGATTGGTAGGTGTCATACAAGGATTTGTAGGTGTCACATTATGATAGGCAGGATAGGTAGGTCTCATTCCATGATAGGGGTTTCTCGTACCATGATAGGTAGGTCTCGTTCCATGACAGATAGGTCTGATAGGTAGGTCTCATACAATGATAGCCATACGGTTGTCGAGTAGACATCTGTTTAAGCCTCTAGTTTGACTCCGACATGCATGGCCATAATATGTCCATTCTTGGTGCCCCTGTATAAAAGTGTTGGATTAATGTATACGTAAATCAAATCACACTGATTCACTTTAAACAAAGATCTGTATTAATAGCTGTGTCGACAATGAAATAGACTTGGTATCATATTCTCTCGACACATCAACAACTAAGAGCATGGACGTGTCATCGTCCTTTTCCAAACTACGAAACTAAGACCTAGTTCAGTGTCCGTTTTAGTCATTCACTGACCCCGATTTATCCTGTAGAATTTATCCCAGTTCAAACAATCCTTCAGTAAATGTTGACACATATATTGAGAATATACATTTCGCCAACATCTGTAGACTCAACTCAACATGAATATGGGCACAAACCCTGGGGTCCCGCCCCACAGGGACTTCTACGCTGCGGCGTCACGAACTATGTAAATATATTCCTGTCTGCTCGAGTTGGATATCACCCAGCTGCCGCTATACAGTTGGGCCCTTGTTGAGATTCCTGGTTAGAATACGTACCCAGCCCTCTGCTGGGCTCGACAGCTGGACCCTTGTAGGGATTCCCTGGTTAGATACCCTGCGGCTAGACAGCTGGGCCCTTGTAGAGATTCCTGGTTAGAATACGTACCCAGCCCTCTGCTGGGCTCGACAGCTGGACCCTTGTAGAGATTCCTGGTTAGAATACGTACCCAGCCATCTGCTGGGCTCGACAGCTGGACCCTTGTAGAGATTCCTGGTTAGAATACGTACCCAGCCATCTGCTGGGCTCGACAGGTGGACCCTTGTAGAGATTCTTGGTTAGAATACGTACCCAGCCGCCATCTGCTGGGCTCGACAGCTGGGCCGTTGTAGAGATTCATGGTTAGAATACGTACCCAGACATCTGCGTGGGTCGACAGCTGGACCCTTGTAGAGATTCCTGGTTAGAATACGTACCCGGCCATCTGCGTGGCTCGACAGGTGGACCCTTGTAGAGATTCCTGGTTAGAATACGTACCCAGCCATCTGCTGGGCTCGACAGCTGGACCCTTGTAGAGATTCCTGGTTAGAATACGTACCCAGCCATCTGCTGGCCTCGACAGCTGGACCCTTGTAGAGATTCCTGGTTAGAATACGTACCCAGCCATCTGCTGGGCTCGACAGCTGGACCCTTGTAGAGATTCCTGGTTAGAATACGTACCCAGCCATCTGCTGGGCCTCGACAGGTGGACCCTTGTAGAGATTCCTGGTTAGAATACGTACCCAGCCATCTGCTGGGCTCGACAGCTGGACCCTTGTAGAGATTCCTGGTTAGAATACGTACCCAGCCATCTGCTGGGCTCGACAGGTGGACCCTTGTAGAGATTCCTGGTTAGAATACGTACCCAGCCATCTGCTGGGCTCGACAGCTGGACCCTTGTAGAGATGCCTGGGCATAATACGGACCCAGCCATCTGCTGGGCTCGAGAGCACAAAGCCATCTTAGCCTTACGATGGCTTTCATATAGACTAACGATAGATTTAGCGCTGAAATGGCTTTGTGCAGGTGGTCCCAGGGTTCGTAAGATGGGTCGTAAAAATCGGGTCAGTCACCTGGGTCCCGTCGATCCACAAAGCGTTCGTAAAGTTACGACCGGTCGTAACTCTTTAGTTTACCTTAAGTTTACGGATGTCGTAGCGCTGCGAACGCTTTGTGGTTCAGGACCCTGGGTTCCCTTTGTACAAAACAGGTTTACACAACAATAGTAATAGGTCTGTGTTAAAGTATGAGATCGCTTAGTCATTGTACAGCGCATCGACACACTAAAATCGCTTTGTACACTAAAATCGCTTTGTGGCTGACCGCCTCCGTGGTGTAGTAGTTAGAGCTTCCGCCCGGAGAGCGGAAGGTCGCGGGTTCGATCCCCGGCCGCGTCATACCACAAGACGTTAAAATAAGGTACTTGTTGGCTCAGCATTAATGGGTACAACAAGGACTGGTCGGCTCGGAGTCAGCATAATGTGTCTGAGTGGGATATTAATGCTTAACTGCGGCATGGTATCTCAATGAGCTGGCACTATAAAGGTATAAAGTCTGGGCTAGTACAAGCAGCCACACATACACACGCATGCACGTAATCATATATGCGAAACATTCTTAAGTACGACGTAAAACCCCATTTTACCTCACCTCACCTCACCTCACCTCACATCACCTTATACAATGACTAAGCGATCTTAACGCTGAGTTGATCGTAACTCCCACGTTGATAGCGTGTCATCGTAACCCGACGTCGTGGACGGTTGCTCATGATATCACTCACTGGATTGTGTGGTCTAGATTCGAATATGTACCGCTCTCTATCTCATAGGGAGGATCTTGTTGAAAAAACACACATATAACTTTGTACAACTGTCAACCTACAAGGAACTTTAAACCTGTATATTGCAGACACAATGACCTGTCGTGGCAGTACAGGCAGTACGCCCAGAACAAGGTGTACCAGGTGAATCTGAACATGGACCTGGCGCTCACGTGGAACACCACCCACACAGACATCAAGAGGATTCGTGATGGCCAGCTTGGGGCGCAGGTAGGTACAGCGGTTCAAACGGTCGCTGCTAGGTATTAGGACTGCACGGTATTACCGGTATACCGCTATATCACAATACGCTATTCAAACGATACGTATTGCAATATTTTTCTGAGAACCGGTATATTGGGTAAAGAACATATATGAAGGTTTTTTATTGTCTTCATGGTTTGAATTAATATCTACAGATGCTTCAATTCACAACAAATGTTTTCCTTCGTTCATCAATGACAAAACGGCATATTGTAATATACTCATGCCAATAATGGTTGTCACCCCCTCCCACCCCAACCCGTCAAAAACCAAACCCCACCCCACACCCCCCTCTAATTAAAAAATTGAAGGGGGTGACAACCATTATTGGCATGAGTATCCTATAAATGGTGTAAAAAGAAAACAGAATCTCTGACTGCGCAACTTAATTTTGAGATTTCTGTTATCAGAACCATAACATATATGTTCAAGTTCCCAATATATCGCAATACGTATCGCAATACGGGTACCTGAATCGCAATATATTGCAACACATTTTTTTCTGCCAATACACAGTCCTACTAGGTATTGATATATTTGGAACAAAGCACACGAGGGTGATATTCCATTACTCATCCAACAGGCTGGCAATGATATGTACCTGTTCATTTGTCAATCTCACGCTGACAGACCGGGAAGGGAATTCTAATTATTGTGACAAGAGTGTGACTTGGTATAAATACTGGTATGGAAACGAATACAAGACACGTTTAATGCATAACAACTTCTTTTAATTCTTTATCACGTATAATGCTGACTCCGTGAATGATGAGTTAGGGCATGGAATCTATATATATAGAACGTGCTTACACAAAGCAAGGTGGGAGAATGTACAAGAATAAAAATAACAATATAATAATAATAATAAGTACATTTATAATGCGCCAAATCCAGACACAAAGTGTATGCTCATAGCGCTACATAAGAGATTCTGACATCACGAGGTTAAGAGATGGCGGCTAGAAATGATTAGAGTCTATAGAACTGAGTGAAGAGAAATGTTTTGAGACTGTCTTTGAACATTTGCAGAGTAGGGATTCCTTTAAGATAATCTGGGAGTTTATTCCAGAGAGTGGTGGCATTGTAAGTAAATGATCTCTGACCAAATCGTCTCAGACGTGGGGTTGGAACAGAGAAGAGATGTTGTTGGGCAGATCGGAGGACTCTAGATGGGTGGTAGACTTGTGTGAGTTCAGACAGATAGGAAGGTGCTGACGGGTGATAACACTGATAAGCCAGTGCAAGCACTTTATACTGAACACGTGCATCAACAGGTAGCCAGTGCAGTTTCATCAGTATGGGCGTGATGTGCACAGATTTCTTTGATCGTGTATAATGACGAAGACAATGAGATAGAATTAATGTACAAAGATAACAATATATAGACGAAGCCAACGAGATTAATGGTATAACAATGTAAGACTACCATTATAGCACAATTGTGACGAAGGAAACACACACTGGGAAGGTAGATGCCTTGGTCTTGGTTAATGGCTGTTCTTTCTTTGGATTACGATGCTCTCTTGAGCTTATTTACGAACAACTCAGTATTTACACTCTGATACCATTTCAGTTCTGGGCAATTTTTGCTCTGTGCGACTCTCAATCTAAAGACGCGGTGAGACAGTTCCTGGATCAGCTGGACACCATCAAGAAGTTCGTGGGCAAATATCCGGACACCTTCACGTTTGTCACTACTGCAGATGGTGAAATATTCTTCTTATTAACATGATCAAAAATATCGTTGTTGCATGAAAGTGTGTCGATGTGCCCCGACGTCCTCGATCGTTCCTCATAATATAATTAATCAGGGGGTAGCCGCGTCCGCTTTTCAGGAAGACCCGGTTCGATTCCCGACATGGTTACAATGTGTGAAGCCCATTTCTGGTGTACCCCGCCGTGATATTGCTGGAATATTGCTAAAAGCGGCGTAAAACCATACGCGCTCACTCAGATCTCACACACCAATAACGCTGTCCTGTTTACGATGAGTGTTTCTCTATTGTCTACACAGGGATCATGGACGCCTTTAATGACGGGAAGGTAGCAAGTCTGCTTGGATTGGAGGGAGGTCACGCCATCGACAGCAGTCTCGGCAATCTGCGCATGTTCTATGACCTTGGGGTCAGATATATGACCGTCACCCACAGCTGCAATACACCATGGTAATGTCGTTTACTTGTTTTGTTATCGTTTCTGTACAATTTTTATTATTTTATTTTATGTTTCTTAACGCCGAACGCATCATGATTCCAGCTAATTACGGCGGTCTGTAAATAATCAAGTCTTGACCAGACAATCCGGGGAGTGATATCATGAGTATCGATCTACGGAGTTTAATGGGATTACGATGACATCTTGATCTCGCTATACGTATAGCCGCATCTTACGAAGACAGTTGCTTTACGTAACTATACGTATTGGAGATATCTGTGAGTGATAACAGTGTACGAGGACAGTTACTTTACGTAACTACGTACTGGAGATATTTGTGAGTGACAACAGTGTACGAGGACAGTTACTTTACGTAACTACGTATTGGAGATATCTGTGAGTGATAACAGTGTACGAGGACAGTTACTTTACGTAACTGACGTACTGGAGATATCTGTGAGTGATAACAGTGTACGAGGACAGTTACTTTACGTAACTACGTATTGGAGATATCTGTGAGTGATAACAGTGTACGAGGACAGTTACTTTACGTAACTACGTACTGGAGATATCTGTGAGTGATAACAGTGTACGAGGACAGTTACTTTACGTAACTACGTACTGGAGATATCTGTGAGTGATAACAGTGTACGAGGACAGTTACTTTACGTAACTACGTACTGGAGATATCTGTGAGTGATAACAGTGTACGAGGACAGTTACTTTACGTAACTACGTACTGGAGATATCTGTGAGTGATAACAGTGTACGAGGACAGTTACTTTACGTAACTACGTACTGGAGATATCTGTGAGTGATAACAGTGTACGAGGACAGTTACTTTACGTAACTACGTACTGGAGATATCTGTGAGTGATAACAGTGTACGAGGACAGTTACTTTACGTAACTACGTACTGGAGATATCTGTGAGTGATAACTGTGTACGAGGACAGTTACTTTACGTAACTACGTACTGGAGATATCTGTGAGTGATAACTGTGTACGAGGACAGTTACTTTACGTAACTACGTACTGGAGATATCTGTCAGTGATAACAGTGTACGAGGAGGACTTTACGTTACGTATTGGAGATACGTAAACAGTGTACGAGGACAGGTACTTTACGTAACTACGTACTGGAGATATCTGTGAGTGATAACAGTGTTGGTGAATAACATGATATGAGTTCGCAGGGAATTATTTCGGTCTTTACGGCAACACTTACGAGGATAACAGCATGAGTGATCTGCGTACGGACTACTTGTTCCACTGACGGTAACCCGTAACATAACAGTACTTCTTATTACTGGGAGCGGTGGGCTAACCTAGTGGTTAAAGCGTTCGGTCGTCACGCCGAAGACCCGGGTTCGATTCCCAACATGGGTACAATGTGTGAAGCCCATTTCCGGTGTCCCCCGCCGTGATGTTGCTGGAATATTGCGAAAACCGGCGTAAAACCATACTCACTCACTTATCACTGTATTTCAGGGCCGACAACTGGACAGTTGACAGAGACGACAACCCGGAACACAACGGTCTGACAGACTTCGGCAAGGTGAGATGTACACCTTAACCAGGCAGCCCGCCCTGCACCCAAGGGCAACCCTTTAGAAATGGCGCTGGATGTCAAATTATATCAAGCTGTATACTTGGCCGTCATCTTGTACGGACCAATCGATTTTAACTATAAACCATTGGTTATAATAAATCTTGGCCTGAGGTTTCTTTGAGCGGAAGACGTTAAAAGGCGGTACTTCTTGTTACCCTGCATGCATGACGCTCTGCATTGAGGTGGGAAAACACAAAGACTGTTCGGCTCGGAGTCAGTTTACGTTGTTTGAGTGGGGTTTCATTGCTAAACCTCAGAATGGCATTTCCGTGGCGCTGTGAGGCAGACAACTGGCGGAACTGTACCGTTAGGGATGTTGTTATTGTTCCGTTTGTCTAATATGTCAATCTGATTATCCCTATCATAATCCGAGTAGTATATCACTAGCTGCCACAAACGAACAAGAAAAAAAGATACCACAAAAGAAGAAACTGGTCCACAAAACAAATAATTTTTGTTGGCTACCTGCACTGCTTCCCATAAATGTGAACGTAACAATGTTGTTCTTATGGGAGATAAGTCATTGGGGCGTACTATATAATTGCTGGAATATTGCTAAAAGCGGCGTAAAACCATACTCACTCACTAGATAATTCTGAAGGAGCACGCTAGTTGTGACCACCCTGCAGTTCTCTACCGAGGTGGTCCTTGTGACTTCCTTGAGGATCAGGGGCGGTGGGGTAGCCTAGTGGTTAAAGCGTTGGCTCGTCACGCCGAAGACCCGGGTTCGATTCCCCACATGGGTACAAAGTGTGAAGCCCATACCTGGTGTCCCCCGCCGTGATATTGCTGGGATATTGCTAAAAGCGGCGTAAAACCATATTCACTCACTCACTCTGAAGGAGGAAGCTAGTTGTGACCACCCAGCAGTTATCTACCGAGGTGGTCCTTGTGACTTCCTTGAGGATCATCTAGGTTTTGAAATGAACTCATTTTACCGAAAAACAGTTCCAAAATTAAATATTAAATAACAAACCTTGTTCATGCTGCTACACGACTGTATGTTACAGATTGTGATCCGGGAGATGAACCGCCTAGGGATGCTGGTGGACCTGTCCCACGTGTCCCGCAAAACCATGATCGATGCCCTGGAGGTGACCGACTCTCCCGTCATCTACAGCCACTCCTCCGCCTTCACCATCTGCAACCACTACCGCAACGTCCAGGACGACGTCTTGAACCTCACGGTAACCACCGCAACTCGCTCTGTCAGTTAAACCATGTGGTAAACGGATTCTGATGACACTATACGCTGTACAGAGTTGCGCCCCTTGAGCACGACAGGATCCTGTTGTGGGTTCGAACGCCGGTTTGTCCTGATTGTGTTTCTACGTTTGTCTGCACCGTCCCGTGCTTCCCTTCGACACTGAGCTCACATGCCATTATGTAAATGCAATACAAGTTTGTTGTTACGACAGGTTAGAAAGATAAAAAGTTGAACAATTTAATTTTGCCATGTAAAATCCATTTTCTCATTGCTTAGATATTGAAATGTATGGCGAATTTTACAATTTTTTGCTTTGATGATAATTTTGGAATGTTATCTGTAGTACACAAAAGGCCAAAATGATGGCATGAATATGTTTTTATCGAAAACAAAACTTGTTTACTCAGGAACTGCCTCAATATGCCAAAAGGTACCGGCCTATCGGTTGTGGTATATAAGATTAACGATGGACAATTGTGAACAGTTTTGGGTCTACCTTCAGTTTTGACATGATCTTAAATGTTCAGGACTTAGTGCAGAAGAGATATATAGTACCCGATTGTTTTACAAGTGAAACACCCCCACACACCCCCACCACCCACAAAAAAAAATAATTAAAAAATGACCGAATGGTAACAATGTGACATAACCAACTGACATAGTAACTCGGGCTCTCACGTGCAACTACAGCAGGTGGCCATAAGTGAGTCATCATTAGTGAAATTTCCATAGACTTACATGTTAATTAACTGTTGCAAGAATACTTTTCATAAATTGAGTAGAAGTCATTTTATTTTGATATTTTGCAAACATCTTGGAAATCATCTTCAGCTACGTGTACATAATTTTCTTTCATCTTTCCGTTGATTAGTTATCGAATGACACCTGATTAAGCGCATAAGTACAACTTAATTTTAATCTATACCATAGACAGCCATGTTAAGCCTGATTGGTATGTCTAATATGTGTTGTTTAAATAGCTGCAATTTCCTTAATAATCATCGGAAAATTGAATGGAAATTATGTGTATGTAGCTGAGATGATTTCCCAGCTGGTAGATAAGTATTAAAAGCAATTCGACCGAAACTAAATTTATGAAAATTATTCTTGCAAGAGTTAATTAACATGCAAGTCTATGGGAATTTCACTAATGATGACTCACTTATGGCCAACTACTGTATCTCGTGGCAAACCGGAAACATTTTCCAAGATCATCTGGAACAGATTGTTTCTTCACACAGGAGGGAGGAAAGAACCACATAATTTTCTGATAAGGGTTTTCTCCTTTTCAAACAGAAAATTAATGAGGGCGTGGTGATGGTGAATTTCTTCGACCTTTACATCAACTGTTTCCCAAACAACCAGACCGTTGCCACGTTGACTCAAGTGGCAGGTACGTAGCTGACTACACTTCAGACTTGACATGTACACCGATTTACTCATTAAATAAATAAAAACTGGTCTTACTAAGACGTTTCCTATCGCTAACTTTTCTTATCGTGAGCTGAGTTTCAAGAGTGAGTGAGTGAATGAGTTTAGTTTATGCTGCACTCAGCAATATTCCAGCTATATGGCGGCGGTCTGTAAATATTCGAGTCTGAACCAGACAATCCAATGATCAACAGCATGAGCATCGATCTGCGCAATTGGGAACCGATGACATGTGTCAACCAAGTGAGCAAGCCTGACCACCCGATCCCGTTACGAACCTCTTACGACAAGCATGGGTTACTGAAGATCAATATTCTAACCCGGACCTTCACGGGTCAGTCATGTGGAAGAATCTACTTACTTTTCAGTCACCATAGGTTCTATTTGAAAACCACTTCGTTTCTATTTGTAAAGTGTAAAAGGTGGATGATGTTAATCTGCATCAAATGTTAACTGAATGAAAATGAACTATGATCATGTTAATCCAATGTTATATATGAATCTTGGTATAGCAATGTTGTTAGCCTAGTTACAGAAATATCCATTTTTCAAACTTCCATGGGCACAATGTGTGAAGCCCATTTCTAGTGTCCCCCGCCATGATATTGCTGGAATATTGCTAAAAGCAGCGCAAAACCCAACTCACTCATTCACTTAAATTCCATCTCAGTAATGGCAAATATAACCCTCAACATTTCACAGGGACATTTCTAACATTTCAAGGATGCATCAATGAACCACTATGAACTGTTAGGGTGGTTTTGAGGGTTGGGCTGGGGTCAGGGAGGAAACTGCCGTTATTCCACCTCACTGCATATGCCAATGTTTCGTTATCTCGAACGCCCGGATATATCGATAGTACGACATGTTCCTCCAGGTTCGAGACATCGAGTTACAAGAGTATTTAGCCTTGTACATACTCATCCACCAGCCATTCAAAGGCATAATTTTCTAAAATATCTTATTGTTTCTGCAAATGGGAACCAGCGTAATCACTGAAAACAACGTGATCCGCTAACGACAACAGTATGGTATCGTCTATTACTTCAGGAATCCAAACCAGGCAACGAATCGTTTAAAGTTTAAGCTTTTTAGCGATCTTTTGCCAGTAAGGCCCAAAACAGCTAATTCCGAGGAGGCAAAATGGAGGGGTGCCGTTATTGATATCACAGGTGTACGAGCGTATATTGGTCATCTTTCGGGCACGACCTCGGGTTATGTACCCGTGAAGATCCGGGGTAGAATAGGTCTTCAGCAACCCATGCTTGCCACAAAAGGCGACTATGCTTGTCGTAAGAGGCGACTAACGGGATCGGGGGGTCAGGCTCGCTGACTTGGTTGACACCTGTCATCGGTTCCCGATTGCGCAGATAGATGCTCATGCTGTTGATCACTGGATTGTCTGGTCCAGACTCGATTATTTACAGACCGCCGTCATATAGCTGAAACAGTGCTGAGTGCGGCGTAAAACAAAACTCACTCACTCGGGTTATGTGTAATGATATTTTTTTAACTTGAAAATGAAACTGTTTCTTTCAGACCACATCGACTACATCAAGAACCTGATCGGAGTGGACTATGTTGGCATCGGCGCTGATTACGATGGAGTGCCCACGTACGTTCATATGACCCTCACCTTTGTTCCACTTTCCATACGACCCCAGTACCTTGGCGTTGTGTTTCTATGAGGAATCATGGGCAGAAACGGTGCCCAGTACTTCATGTTTGTGTCTTTGTGGAGTCTTTAAGGGAGGGGAGGTCCCTGATTCCTAGGACAGGTCACCACTACCTGGGGTATGATTGTCCACTTGTTGTAGTCTCCAGTTTCCCATGCTTCTCTCCGTGTTGGGATTCTGCGGCAGAATAAGGCGCCAGTATCTCCCACTTCAGAGTGTCGGACATCAGAGGTCTACAGACTCCCTCACTTGTCCCCACGTGTTTATCAGCAACAAAGTTCCTGTTTTGTATATACCTCCTTTCTAGTATGATGCATAACTTCATTTCGAGTCCGAACAGTCACATGCAAGAGATATCCAGTAGAGGGTTTACTGATATAAAAAACGACTGTGATCGTGACGTCACTTCCTGGGCGATACGAGGGTATTTATCTAAGCAGAAAGTGGATATAATTCCCTGGATACCCAAGGATGTATTTCTATGTTGTCAAGGTTACCAGTGGGATTAGAAGATGTGTCCACCTATCCTAAACTGTTTGAGGAACTTGTTAGACGAGGTTGGACAGACGAGGAACTTCAGAAGCTGGCGGGGAGGAATCTTATGCGAGTTTTCAAAGCTGCCGAGAAGGTGGGTCCAAATAACTTCTGTTTACTCCTGTTATATACAGGGTAGCTGGTAGTAGCCGTTGTATGAAAGGGGCATGGCGGCCTGGCTGTCGAAGACGCCGGGACTCGCTCTGCGTCCAGTAATGGGCCTCACACATTGTATTCATGTGGGGAATCGAACCCGGGTCTTCAGCATGACGAGCGAACGCTTTAACCACTAGGCTACCCCACCGCCGTCTAATATCTTACCAGCAAAAATCAAGTGGTGGTTTACATTCACTGAGTCGAATATGACGTTAAGTCGCGATAGTACCAATCCCCATTCCGTCAGGGTGTCTTGTGTCGAGTTAGCGCCATGTCGAGAAGTATTCGACATGTCAAGGACCATCAGATCACGATACTGCTTTGTCGAATTAGCCGCATTTCGATTCCTCGTGTAGCGAATTAAGATACTGCAGACACCCAGGATTAAGATGCAGGTCGTCAGCAACCGATGTCGGTAGAACGAGGCGACCAAAGGGATTCGATTGATGTTCATGATGTCAATCACTGGATTGTCTGGTCCAAACTCGATATTTACACACCGCCGTTATATAGTTGGAATATTGCTGAGTGCGGCGTTAAATAAACAGGAGCATTAGAGCAGCAGACTCGCTGACCTGGTTGGCGCATGTCACCGCATCCCAATTACGTAGATCAGATTCTTATGTGTGGTGAATGTGTGTTTTAGCCAAAATAAGCTTTTAGGCCATTTGGGATCATTTGTTCCAGTGTTTTGTTGCCTTGGTACAGGTGAACAGGACCAGCTCACTGTGAACCACTTCACTCCAATGAGCTGTGGAACTGTAAAAAGCGACCCCTGTAGACCCAGGTTAGAACTGGTCTTCAGTATCTCATGCTTGTCTTAAGAGGCGTCTGACGGGATCGGATGTTCAGGCTCGCTGACTTGGTTGACACTTGTCATCGGAATCCCATTGCATAGATCGCTGCTCATGCTGTTGATCACTGGATTTCTGGTCCAGACTCGATTATTTACAGGACCGCCGCCATATAGCTGGAATATCGCTGTGATAAACAAACAAACAAACAAACAAACACAAACATTAGAGCAGCAAGTGAAGTTATGTTGTATTTCTTTTCTACCAGGTGAAGATGGACAAGGCCAACCTCCCGCCATATGAAGATCTCATCGACTATGAAAAGGTTAATACCACCTGTCGCACCGGTTTTTAAATCAACGGCAACGAATTAATAAAACAGAAGTCCGGAAACAGCACGACAATCTCGAATATACAACTCAAAACATGTTAAAGAACGGCCGATGTTTTATATGACTATTGTTAATCTATCATGGCAGGAAGGTATTGCAGCTCATTGCATGTGACTGTTCCTTAGTTTCTATTGAGTGGTATACGTTCGACAGGTTCATTCCGATACCCTCTACGTACATATGACATCTCCATCTGCTGATGAGGTCGACAACGAGAGGGTCAATCGGAATGCACCGGTTACAAGTGATGGCTATACACGTTTGTTCCGTCTTTGACTCGCATAATGGACAACCTGTGATCTTGTCACGAAGGTGAAAGAATACAGTGATCTAAGTTTGGGGAATTCCTTGGGGTTTTTTTTCACTTAAAATATGACCAGATCTCATACGACTACACTGATGGACACGTAATCAAAAAGTAAATGTGCTCCGTTCTTTCAATTTTGAAATCATCAAAATAATAATCTTTGATTTTATATTTCCCTGGAGAAGAGACCTGTTTTCATGGACCTGTTTGGGGAACCACATTGTCACAACATGCATATCAGTTTACCTCAGCCATTGTATTATGGTACAACTGTACCGAACTCTGGGACTGACGAATGCGTCTCAAAAGGTAACCCGAGTAAACTGGGATTATATATACTACTTAATAGAAGTAACGGATCACCCGATTCTTTCACTTTGCTCTTGTTAATCTCTCATGGGCCACCCGATTCTTTCACATGGATATTGGCAATATCTCACGGGCCACCCGATTCTTTCATATTACTATTGTTAATCTCTCATGGCCCACCCGATTCTTTAATATTACTACTGTTAACCTCTCACGGCCCACCCGATTCTCTCATATTACTACTGTTAATCTCTCATGGGCCACCCGATTCTCCACCCGATTCTCTCATATTACTACTGTTAATCTCTCACGGCCCACCCGACTCTCTCATATTACTATGGTTATTCTCTCATGGCCCACCCGTTTCTATCATATTACTATTGTTAATCTCACGGCCCACCCGATTCTCTCATATTACTATTGTTAATTTCTCACTGCCCACCCGATTCTCTCATATTACTATGGTTATTCTCTCACGGCCCACCCGATTCTCTCATATTACTATTGTTAATCTCTTACTGCCCACCCGATTCTCTCATATTACTATTGTTAATCTCTTATGGCCCACCCGATTCTCTCATATTACTATTGTTAATCTCTTATGGCCCACCCGATTCTCTCATATTACAATTGTTGTCATTCCATATCGTTACAGTGGTAATATGAAGGAATCGGGTTGTCCTTATCTTCTATTGAGTAGTATATGTTTATATGTATTTCATATTTCACAAAAAATACCATTTCAGCAAACTGGTAAATACTGAGCAACACCTTTGAACCCATATAAAATGAAACCCCGCGAAACCAGAAACCTGGCTTAACGATTACTGGCAGGAACGTGGAAAGGACGTACCACAACTATGATTTGCTAATCTGGACGATTTCTATCCGGATAAACAGGGTTTCGCGATGCTCAGTTTTGATAACGCACATTGACTACACCCACGTGTACACGTGTATATATAATCTGTCAACTTCACCTGCATATTCAGTAGATTTTGTTTAGTTTACGGTGTTCTTCAAGTAGCTAGGACACTATACCAACACTTTGAAATCCATTCCAAATTAGCACATTGGTCTAGGTTACGTACATATCGGTGAACCTTTAGAAAATGTTTTGTATCGGTGTACATCCAGGAAATATCTATGCTGCTTAAAATTAAAAAAACAAACAGTTAAGGACAACCCTATCTTTATTAATCTCACTGTCGCTAATGTGACAGAACATAGCGTATGGCAGGATGGAAAAATCGGGGTATCCTAAACGTTTTGGAATGTTTTCATATAGCTTTTCATTCAAATCCCCATTAGTACATCGTCTTATTGCATACAGTACCAAGGTGATGCTCAAACACACGGAATAAACCGAAGAAGAGCATCAAACCGCAAAGAAATGGCAAACAGGGGCGTAGCTACCATTATGAAAACAAAACCCAGGCTTACACATGATTGTTGCTAAAAAGCAACTGGACCGTATCATGTTGTTTTAACCTGTAGGCAGTTTGGAACTGTAGGCAGTATGGGAATACACCGGTAAAAGGTTGGGCAAGCCCTCAATACTATCTAAATACAAAACTTTGCAACCTATCGGGCTTACACTACAAATTGGCTTGCTACGCGCCTTGCAAGAAACAAGTTTCGTTGCAAATGGGTAATGAGCTGTTCCCAATTGTCTGTAACTGAAACAAAACCCGCAACATCACATACTTTCCAAGTGAACATAAAATTCATTCCTAAATTGTTCTCAGGTTGTAATGTTTTTTTAGCTGCCCGACATATATATTTTCATTTCCATATATCAGATATTCAGATTTTATACAAATATATACATGATGGTATACAAAAAGAAATGATTTAATAAAGTTTTTATTTTGTATACAGAGTGTCATTGTTTTGTAAATGTACGGGTGGTGTTTTATAACATAACTCACTGCAGCAACGGTCCACGACAGGGGTACGGTGACACTCAAGTCATCATGTGGTCGATCCCGGACACTCCATCAGTTTCCTTGTTGTTGGAGCAATTATCGTGTATATTCTCGGGTTACCTATTCTCGTATATATTGTAACGTTGGCACAGACACCAAATGTTAAAACCAACATGTTTTAAAAACCCAGACCCGCCTGACACAAATAACGTACTTTCGAACCAATTGTCCAGCTCTGTGGTCCGTGGGTCGAGTGTTCACTGGCAGGGCGGGAGATCCGCGGTTGGATCTCTAGTCGCGTTAGTCCAAGTGGCGTTATAAGACGGTACTTGTTGCTACCGTGCCAAGTGCTGGGCATCGAGGGGATATGACAAGGATATGGTGTCGCTATACTGTCTATGGGTTGGGGACGTATCAATGTTTAACTGCCGAATGGTATTTCAGTGGACTCGTACTTAAACACACACACGCACGTACGCACACGCACGCGCTTGTCCCACATAAAAACACGCATGTTCACAAACATCATACACACATACATAGCCTACACCAACCCACGATTTATATACGCAATATTTTTTTGAATGATCATCTTTAATGTAGAATCTGACCGCCTCCGTGGTGTAGTGGTTAGAGCGTCCGCCCGGAGAGCGGAAGGTCGCGGGTTCGATCTCCGACCGCGTCATACCAAAAGACGTTAAAATATGGTACTTGTTGGTCCCTGCCTGGCGCTCGGCATTATTGGGTACAACAAGGACTGGTCGGCTCGGAGTCAGTATACTGTGTCTGAGTGGGGTATTCATGCTTCACTGCGGCATGGTATCTCAGTGAGCTAGCACTATAAAACCAGCTTAAGTACAGCTAGTGCAAGCAGCCGCACATACACATACACACGCATGCACGTCGTCATATGAGCGAAATATTCTCAAGCACGACGTTAAACCCAATTTCACCTCACCTCACCTAATGTAGAATCCCGAGGAGAAAGACGTCCGAAACTCGGACATAGTGTCCTACAATATTGTTTGTAGGAACCGAACCAAGAAGAGAAAGTACTGTAAAGGCACAGAATACCCACTTGAACCCACACCCTATATCCCATCTGTCTGTATGAACTAGTCCGTCCCACAATGCGATTATTCCTGTACAAACAGCTGAGCAAGTGTGTACGTACGTTTTGACCGTCTCTCCTGTCTTGTTAACCCATTCGTACATGGTACAAGTCGTGTGAGCGGGTCAGCAAATATATACACACATACATGTTTTATTAAACAGTAGATCATACATACATACATAAGAAAGGTCGAGTTCGCCACATCTATCTTTTGAATATGCATGACTACAAGTTCACGACCTCGCGCGTGACAAGCGCATGTGTAGCTCGTGCAAATGTGTCAACCTTGGCTCAGAGTAGATAGTCCCGTCATATAGGAAGGGAACGCCCTCTGGTATTCAATGGAATAATGTTTTGCCTTTGAATTTATACATCTCGTGGATGCAACCAAATAAGTTAACAAACAACCTTTCTCCCGTCAAAGTTAAGTCGAGAAACATATGTCATTAAACTGACATTTAGATTTTACATTCTGAACATCTGTTGATGTCTGTGGCACTTAAAACTCCTCCGACTGCAGAGTACAAGTCGTGTTCTTGCTTCATACTGAATATAGCTGTTTTTCTCATCTTATAAGCGGCATTTAGCAATATTCCAGCTGTATGACGACTGGCCTTTTCGTCTGGACAGACAGTCCAGTGACTGACATTATGAGCATGGATCTACGGAACTGGGACACGTTGACCTGCACCAGCATGTCAGTGAGCCTGACCACCTGACCGTCAGGTACTTGAAAGGGGAGGTGAATGCTCGTTATTCATCCAGGGAGGTTGTTCCAGGAACCATTTCTCAAGAAGAAAGGTTTTAACAGTTGGTTTGTTGTTTAATGTCGCACTCAGCAATATTTCAGCTTTACTGCGGCGGTCTTTAAAAATCTAGTCTGGACCAGACAATCAAGTGATCAGCATCGTAAGCTGCGATCTATGCAATGGGAATACGATGACATGTGTCAAAAGTCAGCGAGCCTCACCATCGATCACGTCAGTCACCTCTTACGACAAGCATGGGTTGCTGAAGACCAATTCTAACAGAGATTTTCACGGGTCGCTTTTATTAACAGCTCATTGGGATGAAGTGGTTCACAGTGAGCTGGTCCAGTTCACCTGTACCTGGGCAACAAAACACTGGAACAAATTATCCCAAATGGCCTAAAAGCTTAGTTTGGCTAAAACACACATTCACCACAGATAAGAAAAATGCCAAAATCCTAATCCTGCAATCGTTTGGAAACTTTAAAAAGATCATTACATAAAGGAAGCCAAGAACATACTTCTAAAATATTTATTCCAAAGGCTCTGGAGATATACAGCAAAAACCAGTGTTACTAATATTTAGGATTGTTTAATTAATTCACTGCAGAGGCAGGGAATGTTGACACTTACTGAACAGGTTAAGGTGACAGCCCCTGTTCTGGTCCTGCCGGCTTTGTTCAGACCACAGACAATTTTCGCGCAAATAGGGTTGCGTAAAAGAGAAAATGATCAAAGAGAAAATGCGAGCCTCGCATATTGACTGGTCATTTTATCTTTGTTGCGCAACCCTATTTGCGCTACAATCCGCCTGTGTTCAGACACTTCTCTGTACATACATACAACTATATTACAGGAACACGTAGGTCAGCTCTGTGTGGTGCTCTGTAACCGTCACCTTCAGGATTTCCCTACACTCTTCTGCAAGTATCAGACCATTTAGGGACCTCTCATACACAACAGACACATTTACTCAGACAATACTGTCAAGTCTCTGAAGGCCTTGTTCTTATTGATTAGCTGGCTGAGTATGGTTTTACACGGTTTTTACCAACATTCCAGCAATATCACATGATTAGCAATATTTCAAATTATTGGAACAAACTCAACCAAACACACCAATAAGATCACTGTAAAGCTTTATAGACCTAATGAGAGGATTGTTGGAACATTTAACGATCAGTGAAGATATTGTCTAGATTAACAAATTTTCTCTTTTAACAAATATGTAATGGGTCATTTATAAAATGGTGGGCTGCTGAAAGAGTCT